CACTAAGTTTCCAGAGGATACCAGCAATTCTGTTTTGTGGACGTTGTTGTGTATATCAATGGCGCCATCAGGTGGCTGAAACATGTCATGAAACTAAATTGAATCTAATAATTCCTGCTCTGAGTTTATGTCTATGAATAATATGAATTATATTCTGTTTTGTATGATCTCTTTTAGTCGGCTGACCCTGTTGGTGTTCTTCCTGAATTGTCCCAACTATACGAGTTAGACACCGACCACGTGCTAAGCATTGTGGGTATTGCGGCCTCAGTTCTCAACCTGCTGATTGTGGTGTTGATGTATGTCTACACATGTGTTTGACGTGTCCACCCGAAGGCTGTCATGTGGATTCATGGTGTTGGATAAATGAAAGGACAGATAGAAAGACAGGAGACGGGCGGAGTGCTTTCAACACAGACTTATAAAAATCAGTATTTGTAAATTGTATCTACAATATTACTATTTTCTTATTTACAGCTTCAGTCGGCTCGGAAAAATATGTGTTCACATTGTAAAATCATTAATTGGAAACTGCAAAATCACAGATTGTTATTTTTATACCATGTGTACTAATTTGCTGCTTGTTTTTTCAAATGTGTGTTTTTAATAATAAATAACAAAACTGTTCAATCATCTCTAGTTTTACTTTGATTCAAAGCCAAGTCAGTGAAACATCAAGGTATCATGTCAATTTATATTAATGTGTTACTTTATTATACAATTTTAACGAACAAACGGAAACAAATATCACACAAGAAACATGTGGGACCAGAAATCATCAAAGATAGGAAACGATATGCCACCTTAAAAAAATCTTTCTCATTGGTTAAAGATACTTCTGCTGCTCCGTTATAATAATGTTTACAAAGAACTGCAGGAAAATATTAAATTATTAATAACTTCCAATGTGAAATGTAAACAAAATGTGCTGGAAGAGACGTGCACTACAGCAGATGAAATGTATATGTGTTTGTTTTTCTTGCTTGACTCTTACTCTACAGAAATATCCCCAGAGCTGACACAGGCACAGACATTATATGATGGATCAATACTGTACATGCAGTAAATGACCGTTAAATATATGTGCTGTATATTGATATGCATAAGCTGTGTTTGTACATGTTGTTTCTTACTGCTTGCATTGATTTTTGATTTCTCTCTCTAAGGAACAGGTGCAGTATAATTATTTAGATTGATGTTGATGTCAGGCAGAATCTGACAGCTTGTAATAATGTCAATCTTCTCGGACACAGCCTTGAGGTCGTCCAGAATTAATCTGATGCTGTGAGAAGCGTTGATGATGGCACCCTGCGATGTATTCAGCTGAGCGGTTGCACTGCGCACCTTTCACAAAAAACAGTCAAACAAATGAAACGCTAAACTATTGAAAAGGCAATGATTGTTTGCAATTGATAAGACTTAAAGCTGCTGAATTACAAATGACATAGGTATTGTACTTCACACTGAGACCACTCAGACAATAAATAATTCATTCTCATTTTTTTAGAAAGATTCCACTTTATTTAAAGTATTTCTGAAGCCACTGAACATCTGACCCTATTCCTCTCCACTCTAATGTTACGTTTCTGACATTACAGGATACACTTACTGAGTCAAATCATCTTTTTAAATCAATTTAATCTGGTTGCATTAAAGTATCTTTTCCTGCTCTATGCAGCATTACTGCGATTTCTTTTCTTTTAGAGAACTCAAATTTGTCATTCACTTCCAAAAGTAGTGGCCCTGGTGGTTTAGGCAATGTTTGGTAATGATACTTGAATTCTTACATTCTGATAAAACCTTTAACAATTTGGTTCATTTATGGTTGTTGGTAAAGCAGCATTTGAAGTTTTGGACCGAAATCAATTATTTTCAGTAGAAACATCTGAACCCAGAACTAAGTGTCAAAGGCTAGATTTCATTTTTTCTACTTCATTTGTTTGGATCCATTTTTCTGTTAAATTATACAACAGGAGATATATTTGGCCATGTCAGGATCTGGATTTAAGTCGATTATTTTCAATGGAAATAATGTTATTCAGACTTATTGTCAGAATTCAGAAATTTGTAAGAGTCTGCACGGACTGTTGATAAATATTTACAACCATGGGCACAAAGAGTTCAGTGACAGCAGGTCAGCCCCTTTGCTAATGAACACACCCCAGCACGTATCCTGTATACGTGTCCACTTATATTTGTAAGTATCTAAGGCCCTGTAGTGCTTTGTCACACTACAATATCTTTAAAGATAATATGTGAAGGGTGTGTTATGGTACTTAAACTACTTGAATATATATATATAAAAAATAAAAACTGTTCTCAGTCATACCTCTCTGGTGGCACTGCTATAAACCTGCCGCACTGTCTGTGAGACGTCGTGATACAGCCGACTGTTTGACTCCTGCAGCTTCTGTTGTAAGAGTGTGTCCCCTGGAAATGAGCAGATTTGCAGGTCAGATAAAAAACTGAAACTTAACTTTTCCCCCATTGATTCACTAATACAACTGATCGAAACCAATATATTGTTGAGATGTCATAAAAAATGTATTAATTTTTGGTTAAAAAGTGATAAGCACTTTATCACCACAGTGTATGATCTAAGGCAGGGCTACTGATGTTGTATTTACCTGCTGTGTTTAAAGATGTTAGTACAGTTTTTACCAATAATTGGGGCTTCCTGTTAACACATAATCTAAACAACTTCATCAGAGCTCTCAACTGCTTCTTAAACTCATCTGTTTTAATCAGTAAATGCAGCTGCTCGATTAATTCGTACACCCAGATGATCTATTCACTGATGAAGACTAAGACATTCCCGTCACTCAGTACGTATCCTCATTGGTGTAACTGCTGTTATAATTTATCGTTCATATTATGACTGGTGTTCCTCACCATGTGGCCTGTGTGTGGGGCTGGGTCTATCCTCCACAATGGACTGTATGTCAGGATGATCTCTGACCACAATGAGAGGAGGCAGGTCTCTCCTGAGAATCTGAGCGCTCTCCTGGATCACTGCAGGGGCTCGGTCCTCCTCCTCCTCCTCCTCACTGTCTGTTTCTGACGCCTCCCCTGGAACCTGACAGCATTCAGCATCACAGAGACAACACAATGTGGCTTCAGAGGACGAATGGGTGGGGACAGGATTTGATGTTCATACCACACACGCGCACGCGCACGCGCACACACACACACACACACACCTTGGCCCCGGCTGAGGCAGTTTGAGGAGCAGGCAGGGAAGTGATGTACACTTCATCATCAGAGTCAGTCTCAGACGCTTCACCCTGCACCACGATCTGGTACCTGCTGGACATGACTGCACACGCGCGCGCACACGCACACACACACACACACACACACACACACACACACACACACACAATGAGACGTCTGTAGCTACTTTTAAAACCAGCTAAATAACCATAAAACGACTCTAACACAAGCGACACACAATGTTTCCCTGGACTCGGAGATAAACTCTACAGTTAACATGTTAGCTAAACACTCAGTGTTCAAACATTCAGTGAAATACATCATCAAACCTTCTGAGTGAAGTCAGAACACGGATCACATGAGCAACAAGGAAGTGGCTTGTTTAGAACGGTCACATGACAAGTGACGTGTCACACCGCGATTGGAGGACAAGCATCTAGAGTGCGTTTGTAATATCACCCGGCGTGCTTTTTGCATGCACTGCGGCACAAGCTTCGTTTGTGGCATCCACTTCAGCTCGATAAGCTGTATGAGTTTGTGTGTGAGTTCTCTGTATGACAGCAGTTAGTGTGAGGGGTGAGGAAAACAAACACTGGGAACCGTTTTCTTGCCATTTAATGGTCTGACTCACGCTAACACCGCCTGCGCGAATTCAGTGGAGCGTCCTGGCGTGAATATCGAACGCAATCTAGGAAGAGGGCTCATATTTACTCTGTGTCTGCTTCAGTAGTTTGACAGGTACAGTAGATTTACTCGCTCGTTCTGTTGTATTTAATCACAATACCTATCCGTGTGGTTTACACGTGTTTATTATGTTCTCAGTCCAGCTCATACGACACAGAAAAATATGCTATACAACTGTTCAAACGGCCTGGACGACGTCGCTAGCTAACCGCACTAGCTACCTGGTGCTAACTGTATAGCTAGTTCTAACCTGCGGTAAAATGGGTCCAACAATCCTGTGTGTTGTTGTGTAGCACAGGTAGCTGTGTTCAATGAACCTGTTGTATGTTGGCTGTGTGTTGTGTACTGACGCGTGTGTGTTCGTCAGGGATGACAGACGAGGCCCTGTTTGAATTTCTCCACATGGAGATCGTGTCCCATGTTTACAAGGAGCAGCAAGCCAGTAATGGAGGGATGGACAACAAGGTGCGTTCAGTCCCTCAGCATGTTCAAACATAATATACATGAGAACCCACTGCAGTGAGAACAGCAGACAACACACACACACACACGTTCACATGTTTCTACCATCACGTTCCTAAACTTGCTTCTTGTCCAACACCTTTCATTGTGCTGTTGACCCTGTTTTAACTTGAAGCTAAACAAAACGTGTTTCTTCCTCTCTCCAGGACAGAGCTGTCTGTGTCTCTGTCCTCGAAGGCATGGGCTTCAGGGTGGGACAAGGACTCATTGAGAGGTAGACGAGCACAAACACACACATGCTTGTACCTGTGTGGCGTACATCCTCATTTATGTTGATGTTTAAATCTATCTTCTGTCCAGGTTGACCAGAGACTCTCCCAGCTTTAAGGATGAGCTGGATATAATGAAGTTCATCTGTAAAGACTTCTGGACAAAGGTGTTCAGGAGGCAGATTGACAACCTCCGAACAAACCATCAGGTAAAACAAGACAAACTAATGCTATATCCAACACATACATACTGCACTTTAGTTTGTTTGCAGAGTGATGTTTCTTAGGCTGCTGGGATTTCTGGCCTCAGATAAGAGGTTGGATCCCATTTTGAAACAGTGATTGATCAATGTTTAAGACAAATCATTAAGGCAAAGAGCTCACAGTACAGTCACATAAGGTCATATATTGTTTCTGGAATTTTCTTGTATACTAATAAAAGTAGTGTTTGCATTTAGTGTTACTCATGAAAAAACCATTGTGTGAATCGTTGAGGTGTAGTGAAATGTTGAGTGCATTTAGAACTAGAGATCTATAGATTTTGAAGTCCACTTAAAAGTTAAAATAAATATTTCTGTTGAATTAAGCACTGAAGCACAAATGCACATTCAGTGTTTGTTAAAACGTGTTCGACTGTTTGTTACAACCTCTGGATACCTTTATATACTCCACCACAGGGTACCTATGTTCTACAGGACAACAAGTTTGCTCTTTTGACTCAGCTCTCCAGTGGAAAACAGTACCTGGATCAGGCTCCTAAGGTCAGTATTCACCCTCTACCTCTTTCTCACAAGCACTCCCAAAACAAACAATTGTACTGCTGTCAGTTGGGGATCAACTGCCACATCAGATATAGGCACTGAAGGGTTTGTTGCTGAATTAGTCAAAACCAGTTGCAGTCGCTTATGTTCATTTCTCTGTGTATTTTCTCTCAGTATCTCGCTTTTTCGTGTGGCATGGTGAGAGGAGCTCTGTCTAACATTGGTCTGGACAGTGTGGTGACAGCTGAGGTCTCTGTCATGCCGTCCTGTAAGTACTCATGGTATTTTATTCTCTTTACCATTGAAAAGTGTGAGGTGACACGACATGCTAACTGGCCACCAATACTAGCCAAACTGCTGTTATTCATGTGAGGTGTCAAGTTTGAATTGTTCTATCTTTTAAGGTCCAAACAAACAGTTAACCTCTCCTTCATGTTGTCTTTCCAGGTAAGTTCCAGGTGGTGATCCAGAAGTTGTGACCTGATCCTCTTTGCCACCGTGGTGCAGATGAACAGGCCCCTGTGGGGTTCTGTTAATCCTAAAGAGGGATAGCTGTTCGTGTCCTCCCACCGAGCAAGCCAACCACAGAGGGAATCAAACACCACCCTGGTTTCCATAGCCGGGGACGAGCCAGGTTTTTGCTGATAACCTGTTACCCCTGACAGAGCAAACAGCATTGGACAGAGTTTATCTTTTACTTGTGGTCGTCTGATAAAGAAGATTTGTTTTATTCCTTTTGCTTCTTCACTTTGATAAATGGTTACTTTTCCACTCTTTCAACTAAATATTCTATGGTGTTCTCAATTTTAGTTTTAACTAAATGAGTTCAGTCAAAACCTGACTGACCCCACTTAAAAAAATAACTGTCAGTGGCTGTGAATGCAGTAATGTAAATGTGAATGTATTGTTCATGAGAAGGTAACTTAATAATCTCTGTAACATGTTGCAATGTGGATTTAAGAAATAATTGGAAATTAAAAAAATAACAAAATGAAGGACAAGACATTGATTTAGATGATACAGGCCATTTTTATTTAGCATGCATCCAAATAAAAGCTACTGAGCATTTAAAAATGATTCCACATGACACATCAGATTTCTTATTAAGCTCTTGTTTTGCTGTAACAGCACCTGGTGCTTTGTTCTGCCTTGTAGCTGGTTGTAGTCAGTTATTTAAACTTCAGCTCAGTTATGTTATATTACTATATGTGGTAACAGTTTCTAGACCTGGCTTTTGTAATAACAAAACTGGAATGACAGCATCACACTCATCCTCTGTAGTGTTCTCTAATTTTCAAAGCTGATCACTCAAACTGGGTTTTTCATTTTTGTATCCAAGTTTCCTTTTTTTGTCTTTTATAGAGTATTAATAAGTAAACATGATATTGTCATGTTTTTTTATTGCTTCATTTCCTAATCAGCAAGACTATGTGATGTTTGATCTATTTATTTTATTTCTCGCATCTGAACATTTTTGGTCAAATAATGTGACAAGAATACTGGAACAATGAGGTCCGTCAAACAAGCAGACAACTCGATGAACACAACAATAAAGAAAATCACCTCTGGTTGAAGTAGTTGCCTCTTTGTGCCACTAGATGGACACATGAAGCTGTGATTCTGGTCTCTGTTGTGTCGAATCTGTAGTTTTCTCTTTTTGATCTTCTCACAGTGTTTGGAGAAAGGAGAACCCATAGTTCAGTTAGTATCAGTTAATTACATTAAATCTTCAAATATTTGTCACTGATATAATCTAATAACACAAGATGTGCTCATGTGTCTTCTTTTCCCCTTTAATTTCTGATTTGAAACCAGAACTAAGATCATGTAATGAGAACCTCTGTTATGGTGCCAATTCAAAGACCAGGAAACTGCTCAGTGAGGTGTTTAATTGTTAATTGATTAATTACCTTTTCTCATGGCTCCTCTGCATAACAACACATTTCACAGTGTACACTAGTCACAGCGGTTCAAACTCCCATCATCCCTGCTTAGAATATTAATATTCCTCTCATGTTTTTGATCCACATCATGAGCTCGGTATTAAGAGGCTCTGCTGTACATGAGTGAGCTGCACTTAAAGGTTTTGTCCCAGCAGGTTTAGCTCTATGTTGGCATTCACAACGTTGAGTGCTGGTGCTCACTTTGCTTGTATTTATGTCTCTTTTTGTCTGTTCTATCATTTCACTGAAGTCAGTGTAATCATTTTACACAACAAAGGTTTGTAACCATTGATGTTCTCCCAGTGATGGTCTTACCCAGGCTTTGGCCGAAAACAGTGATGTGGATGCTGTTTTCCATATTAACTGCTGTGTCACTACTGTCAGTTTGAGATACAACATGAAAGTACGCATTTTTCCATTTAAGGAAAATCCCGTCTCAGTATTTTTCCGAGTATTTGATATATTGGTAGGAAAGAAACCTACTCATTAGCCAAATAAATTCAGGTCACCCCATGTACATGTATATGGGTTATGAAGTTGAGGCAGTAGTGCATAAATCTAGACACATACTTGAAGCACATTAAATGATACAGAGGCACATATTACTGAAATAATCATTTTACAATTCGGTTTTAAAAGGTTTTCACTCATGCAATGATGTTTTCGTAGAGACACAGTTGATCAATTCTGTAACCATTCTACTATTAATCCGCCAGTTTCAAAGGTGTTAGTTTTCCACCAACATTGAAACAATAGCCACCCAACTCAATTATGTTTGTTCACAAACCGCAGCACGAAGCTTTAATGGTTTAATAATGGGAAGAGAGAGAGAGAGAGAGAGAAATACTTGGGATGCAGCTTTTTAAAGTTAACTCCAGTCATAAGGGTTAAAACCCATGTTACAAAAGTGGCACGGATATCGGGAGGGAGGGTCTAATATTAGGGCCCCCATTGATAACTTAATGGAACATAATGGAAAGTGTAGGATCTTATGGTTTTGGAAGCTGAGCTCTATAAGAACACAAAGTCTGAACATCTCTTCTTAAGAAATCAATCTTTCACAAGTCCCAGCACTTCTTCTAGGTGAAATATTGCATTGCTGTTGTTATGCTTTAATATTTTACACACTCTGTTGTCTTAGAGGGGGGTGGAGTCCTAACTTTAGTTAGGAGGCCCTCAATACAAGAGTACTTGAAAGAGCTTAAAATCTCAAGAAACGTTGAGTAAGATCCCTGGTTATTAGACTGCCACTCCAACACTCTCACCCTCGAGTTTTGTGGTTTCTGTAACTTCTTTACGACTGAGTGAAATTCCATGAGGGACGAACACAGTCAAGAAAATTGAGTTAGGTGTCTGCATAAATGCACAGCACCTGATGGCCCACTCTTTTGCCCATTTGTTGCAACCCATTAAACACTTAGCCCCAATCCTTTCTGAAAAAAAAAAAAACAGAAGGAGGGATTAGAGAGAAAGCCTGGGAGGGGGTGGAATTAAAGAAAGTTGGTGGAGGAGGAGATTGGGAGAGTGGGCAAGAGTAAAATGAGTTGAGAGAAAAGAAGAGCCTCTACAGGAGTCTGGAGGGGAATGAAAGGTAGAAAAGAGAAGTTTATTAGAGGCGGGGGCAGAGGGGAAGCAGTGTGGAGGAAAGATTAAGATGAGGAAGTTGTTAGTAGTGTGGGGAGAGGAATGGGTGAGCGTGTGAGATGTTTCTCGTACCTGTACCTAAATATCTCCTACAGTAGAATCTGGAGATTTGGGACAGTGAGCGTGAGGGAGGATGGTGAGGCCTCAGCAACAGCTGTTTTTGTGCTGCGCTACAAAGCTTGGCTCCCTTTCCTCCTGCTGCATCACAATGTCACCAAGCCTCACAAAAGAGGAACGGTGAATGAAGGGAGGAGGGGGGAGGAGGAAGAGGAGGAGGAGGAGGAGGAGGAGGGACTGGAAGAAAGAAAGGATGTTTTGGGGGGGTGTGCGAGTAAAACCAGCATTCATTCACTCAAACTGATGACTTGTTACAATTCAGTAACACTGTGCACAGAGAGCGGCCGAAGTCTCTTTTGTAGTGTGAGAAAATGACAGAGACATCTGGGTTTGGTTTCATGAAAGCAGCTCACTGCAGTTCACTTTAGTTTACTGAAAATCACCAGTTTCTCTTTTAAATCATTGATAAACCCCGAGCGTAGTAAAGTGATCATGTACAGTCAAGGGGCGAGAGGGTTAAGCTTTACTTGTTGGGTAGCATATCATGTCGTCCACCTTTATATAGTATTTGCAAATGTCCTGTATTCCAGCTTTAGACCTGTTTATCCTTTAGTAATACAATAGCATTTTGCCAGGTTAAGTAGCGTAGCATTAATATCAGATAGCAGTAGCTACTTAAAATTATTTGGGTTAAAAAAAGTTAATTGAAGTTGGTTGGCTGGTTAAGAAAAAGTTGCGAAAATGTCAATGTTAACGTATTTAACAAGTGATAGTGGCCCAGTATGAAAGCAGAGATCAAGCGCGATCATCTGTTTTTCATACTTTAACGAACAGATGTTTTATTCTTAAATGAACTAAACTGGACAATACTTACTGCAGAATAAACTAACAGCCCAAAAATGCAGGTCTTATTTTTCCCTGAGCCTCAGCAGAAGTTCATGTTGTGATCTCACTGGACGTTTCCCACTTTCATCCTCTCAAGCTGTCACCATCCCTTCTTTATCTTGCTGTGTCTTTTTTCCTAACCCCCTACCATTACCTTTTTTTCTCCCTCCTTCTTACCTACCTATTCAACTTCCTCCACTCATGCATAGTTAAGAGTGAGCTCCTCTGTCTCACACACACAAACACAAACTTTGTCTCTTGGGGCCATATGTTGACCTGCGGTGGACCTGAATACAGCCATCTGCCTGCCTTTCCTATGTCCCACAGGGCAAGAGTGTGGGAGAATGTCTATCAGACACAATGCAACACACACACACACACACACATGCCTTTATCCCGTTTACAGCCACTAATCACTCCCAGACAGCGAACCCATCTCATGTTAACAGTGACAAGATAATACTGCTGTTGCTCTTGTGAATGACAGAAAGATTCCTGGGGCCCTTTCGTTTTCTTTGTCTCATTTTATGGACATCTGAGAATTTAAAGACTAATAATGTGTAGATTTGTAATGAGAGTTGTGGAGTTGTAAAAAGTCTCACTGAGGGGACATCATTGAAGTAGAGCAGAGTAACGCAGTGAGAGGATGGATGGAATCACTGGAGGCAGTGAGGGAGAAGGGAAATGGGTAGAAACCCAGGATTGGTAAGATTAAACCCCAACAAAAGGCTTCTTATCTCCACATGAAATCTTAGTAGAATGACTACACACACACACACACACACACACACACAAAGTGTCCTGCTACCCTATAGCACAGTGGGTGGGACAGGCATGATTTGACAAACGTGCTTAAATAGATTTTAATTTGCAATCAGAAAATGTTTGACTGCCCCTGACTGTTTAAAATGCAAGGCACTGCATGCAGCACATGTATTTTGTTTTTAAACATTTTAGGGAAGCGGACATCATGGTTTGTATTTATTTAATGATAATACTCTATTAAAAAAAAAAAAGAATATTAAAAGCCTTCAGATATAAGAAGAACCTGGTTAGATTTGTACTGGCTCACGAAGCAATCATCTGCTATGGGTTTTAAGCACAATCTTGCATCAGGGAGGAACGTAATTATTCAGCTTCACCTGGAAGTGTGAAGAGTCTTTTCTTCACTTTTGTTTAGTGTAACTTGAGGATGAAAGAGGTTTTTGGTGTGTGGATACTCATGGTAGCCATTTTAAATTCATGTAATCCAAAAAGTTTTTCCCCAGTGTGGCTGACCATTTTCATATAAACTTAAGGATGAAATGTTCTTGTTAAGACAATTGCCCTGTGCCGTTATCTTTTAAACATTTGTTGTCAAAGGCTCTGAACTGTTTTTATGTATATGGTTCACATTGATTGTTGAGTTACTACCTCTGTGATCCAGTTTGTGTGTTGCTGTCCAGTGGACATCACTGTTTTATCATCACTGTGTACACCTCTAGTCTAAGATATCAACTTCAGAGGGAGATGCGTTTATCTTCACTTTTCAAAGCGTGTGCAACTGTGTGTACATAGAGCTCACATCACAATAAAGGGCCAAGCTCTGACATTTAAGTTCAGGGGTGCGTGAGGCGGAATGAAAACTGTAAATGACGGTTCACATAGTTTCCTGTTTGCTTCCTTCCTGCAACTCGCACCAATGTTTTTACATTGTGGCAAATACGCTATAACAGTTTTTTCTAAAAGGAAACGGACATGAGCCTTGCTGCATCAGCAACTCATTAGTTTCCCAGCAGAAGCTTCTGTGTGTGTGTGTACAATTTACTTGTAAATGTAAATATGTAAATAAACTTAAACAGTCAGTTTTAAAAAACACAACTAAACTTTATTTCCAGTACAAAAAAGGCAAAAGAAACCCAAATATATTAAACTTGATACAAGCATTAACAACTCAAAGTACTCTATAAATACGTTAAAATAAATTAAAGAGATTAATTTACTAAAGATAATCACCTTCAACACTGAACAGGCATCAAACATGTCGATGAAAAGGTGATTTTAAA